CACCCCCAGGTCCTTTTCAGCCAGGCAGCTTTCCCCCCAAAGCTATGATATTAACTAAGGCTACAATAACTACCAAACGTATAGATAGCTAGCACTGGATAGAATACTTTACCTGTAGTGAAGAAATATTTGGATGCATAGATTCACAGATATTACAAAGAGAATACCTGAAGAACCTGGAGAACTCTATCTTGCAATAAGACTATATGTATCAGTGTCTGATAGCTGTGGACTTATGCACAAATCCCTACTTGAACATTTAAGAGACTAATATGAGACTTCTAAATAATGAAACACACCCCTAGGTTAAATAAACAACGTGCTAGTTACAGATGTATGAAAACGTATGAACTTTTCAAAGTTCAGAAGTATGATCACAGAGCTCTTGGAGCAGAAAATGTTTAGTGTGTTCCAGACTTTCAAACCTCCCTCCCTCAGGCAGACAAACAGAAACCCACCCATGCAATTGACAAGAGAAGCTGTAAAAATTTCAAGGTACTTTTACGGGTAATATGGGCTTAGAGTACGAAGAAGAACAAGATCATTAAAGTATGGCTCAACTATTTGTTTTTCATAATGCACATACTGCATTTCATTCATCATGACTTAAGTCTGAACCATTTAGATGGTTCTTCAGTTCTAGCTGTTCTCACCAGGTAGCACAAGGGGAAGTACAACTGCCAAAGATGAACAGAGACTTTCAATCCCTCTTGTAAGTGGAAGGATCAAGAGGAGTATGTTTAGCAGTATTTAAGCATTCAACAGCGCTCTCAGTTCACATCCTACAAAGTAGGACAAAATGGTGCACATAAGCGTTCACTGCACCTGCTAACTGCAACAAAGAAAGTGGCTTAAAACACAAGCTTTTAGCTCCAGGTCTCAAACGGAAAACTCAGAAGGGTACCTTTCCAAATATATAGGGATTTCACACTCCCTTTCACATGTGCAGAAACACATGTGGAAATAAATCTGAATACTTATGTCACCTTCCAGATACGGAGCATTTTTAATGATGCAAATGTTGTAGACAATTTGCACCCACAAAAAGCCCTAAACCAATGGCTGAACATATCTTGTCACTGAGATCAGTTTAGGGCTCTGAAGGGCCCTCTGGATGCTCCACTAATGATATAGAGTCTAAGTAGAAAGCAAAATTAGATGTCCAGAATTAGGTTGCAATTCTCTACCAGAGAACTAAAATTCTAGAACTAACAGGTTTTGAAATAAAAAAAAAAAAAATGACTATTGTTTAGGGAGCTCTGAATTCTTTTTTTCCCCCTCTCCATTCTTTGGTGTTTTTACTTCAGGAAGAAAGAGACAACTAAAATTTACTTCTCAAATAAAACCATAAATATTTCTATTTCAGGTCTACAGGACGTTAACCATGTTGAACCAATTAAGTTTACTTTGCTTACAAAGCTATTTTTAACATTTTGATAGCTGGGTTTTTTCTGGCTATTTGGAAAATTAAAGCTTTTATTTAGTACTTCAAACTATTACTGAATTTACTTACTGAATTTACCACGAAAGTTTCATAATTATATGATACGCTGTCTTTATGAAAATCATTTAACAGTTTACCTATTCACTTTTCCACTGTGATCAACTAGAAGTGAATGGAAACATTAATTCTCAAAGAGAATTAAAAAAACCCAGGTAGTCATACAGACATGCATAGGTTAATCTCCAGTAGCTCTTATCACCAAATATTGTTGTAGAAAGGCAACTGACAACATTAGAACTGGAGGTGAACTCTGGCTGCCAATAAACACAGGCAAAGCATGTGAAGATAATGTGAGGAGGTTAACATTATGAGCATCAATGAGCCTAATGTTGCAAAGAACTCTGCTTCACAGCTCAGTAGTAGAAACTCTTAATTTCCCAGACTGATACAGGTATAGCTGTCGGAACAGACAGTTACACATAGTGCCTTTTTCTCTGAAACAAAATAATTTCTTGTTTTGGAAAGGCTGTTCTATGTTGTTGTAGAAAACAGCCGGTCATGTAGCTTATAAGCAAGTAACTGTAAGAGGAATGGATTACTATCACAATTAGCTAAAGAAGTATTGTGAGACAGCATTGCAAAAGCCAGTGAACTATTTTCAGCAGAGACAGATTCTTGTAAGGAGGCATGCAGGGTGTAGCATTAAATGAGTTAAATGACTCCCAGAGGGGTCAGAAGTCAGATACGGTATACACTTTGAAATAATTTCTTATCAATAGGAAAACTAAAAACCACATACAACACCTTTTGTTCTCTTTAATTATCCACGTGCAGCTTTCATGGTCCACAGATGAATAGAGTTTTCCTTCCATCAAAGGAGGCTGGTCTTTCAGTGTAACACATATGTTATCAGGGGAAAAGCGTACTTTTATGTCATCCTTAGTGATGTCTTGAGGAATGTGAACTGTTATTGTCACATCGTCTTCAGTCTGCTGCCAGTAATACAGAGGGTCTACAATTGGAAACATTCAGAAAAATACAAGCTAGATTACAAATGCTGTCCTGGATTCCACAGCATGCAATGCTGGGAGATATGGAATAGAAGTTTGAGGAAGAGTGGAAACTAACTTTCACTCTGAACAATTTACATAAAATATATTCTGTTTATAGAATAGAGAAACTTTTTTTAGCAGTCAAGTTCATTTATGTCCCTCGTCTGGAAAGCAATTTATATTCATGTCTATAGTCAAATACGCTGACAGAGTTATACAATGGGCATTAAGTATTACTCCAAGTTTACTGGAGCATACAAAATTGATAACCAAAATGTACTTAAATACACTGAAACATTAATGATTAATAATTTGGTTGAAGAGACATCAGGTGCAGTGGTACTGACAAGGTACTGCATGCTCAGAAGTATATGCCATTCAGAGATGTGAACATTTTTTTCCTTACCTATTTTGCCAGAAGCTACGCTGACTATTCAATAGAAATTATTTCAGAAGACCAAGTAGTCTTCATCTGTCTCAGCTGACGGAGATGAAATAAACTGCCTGCCCAGAGGTAATGCTTGACTTTTGCTCCTGGGTCTAGAATCTGCCTGATGTCTATCTTGATTATTAAACTGCTATAAGAAGTGGCCTTTCAAGAGAAATGTTTATACAAAAGGAAGGCTATGACAGTATGATTGGGTAGTGCACAGCTGGTCACAGAAAACACAAATACAGGTGCATTCATTTTCTAAAGAGCTCTCTTGTACATGTTACCTTCCTATTTAGAGGAAAAGTAAAGTATGGATAGACCCTTTGGAAGCTCTAAAGCTGTCACAACACAATACACAATTTAGTTGATCTAAGCTTCATGTCAACAACTGTGACTCTGGAAGGACTCTTACGCTGCTGTCCATTACCATTACCATGAGTTTCCTGTTTGCAATGGATCAGTCACAGGTGCTACAAATATACTTCCCAGAAACTTTTAACATCTGACATATGATCGCCTTCAAAATTCTAAACTTCGACATAGATTGTATCTGATAGTAAAAGTCTTAATTTATAAGAAAACTGAATGACACCAAAAAAGTAGCTTAAGACTTCCTCTCTCCCCAGTCTTCAACACAGACTTCACACAAGCTGTCAGAAATGTGCAGAGGGGACTATGAAAGAACAAATTAAAACCCAAAATACCAATGTGCAACATAACTGCCTTAATAATATTTATCTATTTTTTAAAATCCTATAAAAATGAGAGCTCTGTTGCTGGCATATCTTCATAGAATCATAGAATGCTTTGGGTTGGAAGGGACCTTTAGAGATCATCTAGCCCAACCCCCTGCAGTGAGCAGGGACAGCTTTAACCAGATCAGGTTGCTCAGAGCCCCGTCCAACCTGACCTTGAATGTTGCCAGGGATGGGGCCTCCACCGCCTCTCTGGGCAACCTGTGCCAGCGCTTCACCACCCCCACTGTAAAAAGCCTCTTTCTAATGTCTAGTCTAAATCTATTCTTCTTTAGTTTAAATCCATTATTCCTTGTCCTGTCACAACAGGCCTTGCTAAAAAGATTCTCCCCATGTAGGCCCCCTTTAAGTACTGGAAGGTCGCAATAAGGTCTCCTTGCAGCCTTCTCTTCTCCAGGCTGAACAACCCCAACTCTCTCAGCCTTTTTTCGTAGGAGAGGTGCTCCAGCCCTTGGATCATTTTGGTGGCCCTCCTCTGGACCCGCTCCAGCAGGTCTTCTTTCATTATCTGATAGCTCTTCTGCCTGCAATTTTATATAACCATGCCACTAAAATCATAGCCTACATTGGGTTTAGCAAAAGACAAATTCTCTCTTAAAGAGGTATTAGACTTTCCCCTAAACTAGGAGTTCAGGTGTCAGTACTTTCTCTGTGATCAGATTTTTGTGCCATGAGAAGTTTTCTAAAGGTATTGCTGCAAACAGTACTCCACACATTACAGATTTCGGGCTTTGGCAACACCTTATGTGCGCATACGCACATGAAATGAGCTATCCTAAGAACAATATAGTGCTCTTTACTGTGCTTCTTTAATCACACCTAGCACACAACTCAAGAAGATCTTAAAATCATTAAAACATTGAACTAGCTAATTCAGGTAACAACTGCATAGGCATTGGCACTATGGTGTTCAATGCATGGAAGAACTCCTTTGCCTCAAGATTTATATGTATAGACTATTCTTAATACAATTACATGTTATCACAGTGTATTAACATTAATACATTCCAGAAAATTGATCTTTTTGTATTGTTTCCCAAACAGATTTTTGCAGCATTGACAAAGATTGTGCTACTATCATCCAGTTAAGACATTGGTTAACAAACCAATCCTATATTCAGAAGCAAAAATCAAATCTGAAATAAAAAAAATATAACTACATAAACATACATATTACAGAGTTCAGTGATATTTAAGATAAGACAACTTTTTACATACCTAGTTTTGTTTTGATCTCAAAGAAAAAAAATGTATGGATGCCTTTTGTTGCAGTTTACTATTTTTTCTGAACTGCCTTCCCACTGGAGAAAAGACAATCTTTTACAGGATTCTCATTCTTTAAAAAGAAAAACGTTTTGGTTTTTGGTTTGGTTTTTTTTTTTGTTTTTTTTTTTTTTAATTTAGAAAGGCAGGAGTAAACTATATATCAGAGAGCTTTCTGATGGACAACTATTTGGGGCGTCAATGGGTGCCACAACGCCCTCTCTCACCTAGGAAGACTGGCTTCTTAATTTGAATACTTCAGCCAGATGCCTAAATTTAGGTGCTACCTTAGCAATTCAACTGCTAGCAAATACTTACTATAGTTCTGTTTGCAAAATATCCTTTTCCATAGGGCAAAATTCTTTAAGTGTCTCCTGACCAAAAAAGTTTCTCATATAGGTTTATGCACAATACAATTTCCCAGGGTGAAAACAAACAAAGCCAATCTGTCCTTAAAAAAAACCGAAACCTGGAAGATAGATATTAACACAAACATTTACTGCTAGAATTTCCAAACAGATGGTAAACTGGCAAGCTATTTTCTAAGCCAAAAGAGAATAGCCTATCATAATCTGCCAGATAAATCTTACCTTTCTTTTCATCTGTTGCTTTGGCATTGTCATTTTCTTCTAATTTGTTGTCTTCATCTTGCATAAATTTGAATGGTTTGTAGGAAACAATCATTAGACCATCCCCACTCGGCTCTATTGCTGCATAATGGGGGACTGATTTTCCTTGTAAAACTCTCCTTTTAAAGATTTCATATCTATGATCACCTATAAAATTAAAACAAATAAAATCTTAGTGGTAATACTTTCCTAGAAGACAAATTATTATATGGGAATCTCATTACACTTAAAAATACTAAGCAATCCTACCAGTTAAATCACAGTATCAGAGTTTAAAAATAATTTTCTCAGACTTCTGTTTTCCAATGAGTTTGTTAAATATGTAGACCCCAAAATTAATCTAACGTTGCTCTTTTATCTTATGATGGCTTTGTTGATCACAGCTAGCCCAACAATTCACAAAACCACTCACAGCCTCTGTACAAACGAGTTTTTCAAATACTTTTTGAGCTGCTGTAAAAACTTGAGAAGCAATGAAATAGCTAGTGGTAACACTTTATTCATAATGGAAAATGCCCATCTTCCTCAACTTTTGTAAAACACTGCCCTTTAAAAAGGGAGGTCCCAGAGGTTAGCTACTGGTGTCAAGGACCATGCCATTCCCTACTGTGCTCCCAAATACATGAGAACTGACGACTCAAAACACCAGTAAGGTGACAGGTTCTAGGACAACATTTGTTCTTTTTCCATTAGAATCTTACTGCCTGGAGAGTCCTCAAGTAGTTGATCAACGTCTGAATAATAACAGATTGTACAAATGGATTTTTAGCAAAAAACTAACAATTTGATAAAATTCTCAGGGGTGATAAAATTATCCACAGGAATTGTTTTATTTTTTACATTTATGCTTCATCTCTTCATTAAAAGAAATCACTGTACTTGTAACTACAACTTTACTTGAAAGAAACTGGGAACTCATTAGCAGAGACATCAGACAAGACCAGATTATGATGGTGAAAATTATCTGTACTGCTCTAGTACTCCAAATGTGCTCCTGTTTGACCTCAACGTTAAGCTTAGAGAAACATCGAAATCATAGGAGAATACAGATAGTAATGGGTAAGCCAGGTATAATTTAGGTCCTCTCAATTGCTTATATTGTTTGCCAAGCAAGAAGTGGAGTAAAGAGTAATAACCAGACTATAATGTAATTCTGGTATTAGTGGTGTTAATTAAGTCCCCTCCTTTTTCCTAAAAAGTTTGGTCAGGGCAGGGGGTACTATTAATTGATGAGATTCAACCATTCTAATTAGAGACAGAGTAAGAGACCTACACAATCAGAAGACTCCAGGCAACAGGTTAACCTCCTTGAAAATTAACAAATTACCTCGGCTTAGGTACATGACCAAAAAGACCCTGTCTTTGTTGTAGTGGGAAGTTAGCCACTCATTGAACGAGCTGTTATTTAACTGTGCACTGAAACATATCAAATTTGTCTGCACTTCTCTCTTACAGCATTCACTTACTTAGTAAAAGGCTTTACAACCTCACAACTTGTCATTGTGTGACCAAACCTATTGTACAGTATTTTCAACAAATCATCAACACTTTTACATTTTTTAAGTAAGTCTTTATGATGTTTTCAGTCAGTTTATACTACATGATTTTTCTTGTAAATAAGGTCAGAAGAAAGCTAAGCACGTTAACATTTTCTGAGTCTAATAAAGCAGCATGGTGGTTCTTCATTTCAAGCTTTTACAGTGAGTAAGGTTTCCTAAAACATTAGTTAACTGAAGAAAACAACAAACTTTGAAAGCATATACCTTTGCACAACCCCTTGAAGTACCACACAAGATGTGAACAGATCTAACCCCTGCTTCCATTCAGATTTATATTCATGTTTCCCTTTTTTTTTTTTTTTCTTTGATAATACAACAGTGGTAGGTGTGATCACTTTGTCTAGCCAACCAGACATGGCAGACACTCTCACAGTTGTTGGTGTCAAGAGACATAACTATGTTTTAAGGCTTTGCTTTGATGAAGCATAGATTTTGGTAATTTCAGAAATGGCTTGTTGATTAACTACTTACTTTTACTGCAGTCTGATTTGATGAACTGTACCCATAGGCAGAGTTTCAAGAAATGTTAAGCGCAGCAACTGCCTACTGATGAAAGAGGATGTAAAGTATTGTAATTCCTCAAAACAGCTTTTATCTTCGACACTGGTTCATACAGCACTCTGATTTGCAAGATGTTTATTTAAAAGAAATCAATACTTATTTCTCTCTTCATAATTAAAGTTTTCTTTGAAACTTGTTATTTACAAGAATCTTGTTGTTTACAATCTTGTTATTTGAATCTTGTTATTTACATCTCTGCTGACTGTAATTACAAAAATTTTGTCTATTCCTTGGAAGTGGTGGAGAACTGGCAAGATTTTTGGAAAGATTTTTAAATACACTTTTATGGAAAAGGTTTCATTCCATGAACATTTGTCTTAAGTTATAAAAAACACACTGTAAAAAAGGATTTGTTTATGAAAATATACAGTATTATAAAATTTAATAAAAGTTTGTGTTAGTACTCTCTTTAGTACTCTCTTCAGTTCTAAACTGGCAGTATTACTGATTTAATTTTTCTTACAACATATAACCAGTAACGTTCAGAAGTGAACATCTTTCTCTTGTTTAGGTGGCTACAAAAGCATAAGACAATTTCACGTGGCTTTCTGGCTTTCTTAGAAATACTTCCATCACCAAGGTTTCAACAGCAGACAATGTGAATAAAGGCACTCATTCTCCTATTCTTACTATATATGTAGGAGACCAAAGAACATTTGGATAGTAACATCGCAGCATGCATCCACTGCTTTAGTTCAAGTAGTTAAAGATCTCGTTTCTATCAGTATCAAAATTATACTTTTTGGAAGATAATGAACAAGACCATACCATAGTCTTCCCAAAAAGGTAAGGTAATTTAATCCACACATCTTTAAACCAGACGCTTAGCATGGGGTCTTGTATCCCTTATGGAAATCATGATATTTAACGTAAGTATATATAGTCATATTGAACAGGTAAATTACCCTTTGCCAAATTTTATTAGGATAATACATTAATTAGTAGGTATTAATACACTAACTAATATGTTTTTAATGTGTTGGTGTAAAACTCACTGTATAACTTAATAGTCTTTTATTGTAGGAAAACCTAGAATATGCAGTATTTACTTTTTATGCTACAGTTCTTATATTTCTCTCATATTAATTCCAGTCCCACGACACCGTTAATTGGAGGCTAAAAAAACCAACAAAAACCCCCGAAACATAACCAAACAAAAACCCATATCCATTTTGAAAAGTATAACATTTTGAAACAGTAACAATACAAAAAGTACATTTTTAAAAATGTAACAGACTACTTAGAAATAGTTCTGTATGATTTTGATTTTACAAGATCAAGCTAAATAGGAATTGCATTTCATAACATCACAAAGTAAAGTTCTATCTTGTTTTCTAATTACATTAACTGCAAATGTATAAAACTTTACTTCTTCCTGTATTCCAAATGTTTGTCAGAATTTAAGTCTACAACCAATAACTTGATCTCAAAATATAAGAAAAGATTACCTAGGAAGCATCAGAACCTGAGGAACAATCAACTTCTACGACAAAAGCATAAAAGCATGATTTTTTTTTAAAAAAACACTACTCACCATCAATATAAATGTAAAACACTTACCCTCTTTGCTTATCTCTGTAATTGTAACCCATTCCAAGGTAATATGAAATCCACTTCCTTTTGTGTCCAATTCATCTTTTTCTACCCTAAGCAGCAGCACAGCTACTGAATGCGTATCAGATTTTACAAATGAAACACTGTGTGCTATAATAAATGCACTTCCTAGTTCTTCATTAAACACAATCTAGAAGACAAAATTGTAGTAAAAAGTCAGTCAGTTAAAACTGGAAGTCTTGCTCTTTCTCAGAAAGCACTGAAAGGCTTCAGTGAATGTCCAATCAGTTGAAGTTTGCTTCCTACAAACCCCTCTGCCAATATGAATCCATGAATGTCATACATTTCTGGTTCCTCCCTCCTTAGCTATCAACCCACTGTTCTGAAATGCTTTTAATTATTATTGCTCGTATTATAAAATCATTATAAGGGGCCATTATAGAAAGCACAAAGATCCACAAAACTGTCTGCATTATGGCTGTTTACTACTACAATAAGTAGAGGTACAACAACTGATGAACGCCATCACTCCAAATGTCCTCCCCCTTCCTTCTTCTTCCCCCTGCTTTATATGCTGAGCATGATGTCATATGGTATGGGATATCCCTTTGATCAGTTGGGGTCAGCTGTCCCAGCTGTGTCCCCTCCCAACTTCTTGTGTACCCCCAGCCTGCTCGCTGGTGGGGTGGTGTGAGAAGAAAAGGCCTTGACTTTGTGTAAGCACTGCTCAGCAATAACAAAAACACGCTTGTATTTTCAACACTGTTTTCAGCACAAATCCAAAACATAGCCCCATACTAGCTACTGTGAAGAAAATTAACTCTATCCCAGCCAATACCAGCACAAAAGCTAATAAGCACCACTGTAAACATGAAATAATTTCATGCAGAAGGACTGCACTTCTTGTAGCTTGAGATATTTAGCAGCTGGTACCTATAGCTGAAAGTTTTAATTCTAGAAACTACGCATTTCAGCTTTTCTCAAAAAAGTACTCATTCAGTAAAAATCCCAAGAAGATAAAAACAAAACTAATCCAAGCAGCAGAGAAGAAGAAACAAAACATTCTTTATTTGCTAGAACATTACCACATAAAAATGAAAGAATAAATGATAAGGAATTCAAGCTGCAGTGGCTGAATGAGTCTAGGCTCAATCCAGCTGTTGTTACGGAAACCTGATAAGGTTTGAGGATTTATGGGGTTGAGATGTTAACATCACTGTAAACCACTGCATGCTCTAAATACTCAAAAAGTGAATTTAAATGGTGACAGAACCTCAACATATAAATGTTATGGTTTTGTTACACTGACAACTCCAATGTCCATCTATGTACCAATACTGTCACAAAGAACAGAATAAAACCCAGTTGGTATTTATTACCAACCACCTAAAGAACAGGATGACTAATTTCCTAGTTACTCAATTCTCAAAAGATACAGGGGAAGGAGCTAATCAATCATGCTGAAATCTTCCACTTCAGGACATAACCTAAGTTCCTGCCAATACTAAAACCTCCTTGATCACTTAGGAAACTGCCTTCTAATAAACAAAACAGATGCAAAATGTGGAAGCTTCATACCAGAATCGTCTTTCATGAGTAAAGAGGAACTAACCACCAACCAGGAGACTGAATAGCTCAGGTAGAAATGTAGCTTAATTATATTTGTTGTGTCCAAGCAGGATAGCCAATACCATTACTAGTGTAGTAAGATCACCTCGATGTGGATACAAAAAATGTTCCTTATCAATACTCTTTAAAATAATTAATTAGGTAACACTTTAATCACTGTTAATCGTTCATGAGAAACATGAAGACATACTTCAGTTACAATCAACAATTTTAAGTAAAAATATTAAGCACCAATCATTTTCCAGAGCTAAGTGCACAGTATGAAGATTTTCCCTACCAGAGAGGTGGAAATAATATTGCTTACATTATACCTGCTCTGCCGGTAACCCTCAGGGTTACTTATCAAAGCTTTTTAATCAGCAGGTTTTGTTTAAGTTTTATTCTAGTCTCTGTGGATGCATTTTTAAGATAGGGCAAATTAAATGGTGGATATTTCAAGCACAATTACATCTGCACAGACAAGCATCACACAAACCAGAAACATCCTAACTTAAAAATGAAAGTAACCTTTTAGCTTGGTTGACATTAATTTCAGACTTTTTAAAAAAAAAAAAATATATTATTCCACAGGCCAACTGAAATAGTGAACAATAAAACATGGGGGAGGATGGAAATCCTAGACAGACACATATGAATAGGGAAGGGAAAGGGGAAATGTTTTTTAAAAAAGTTATGCTAGACACTTAGCCACCTATTTAGAACACTCACTTTTACTTAGACGAATTCTTCTTCGGTCAAAAGGCTGTTCCCTTTCAAACACTTGAATTTGAGATATTTTTTGCATCAAGATAATTAATTTAGTTATTAGTATAAATATCAATGATCTTTATACTTGACCACAATCCTGTATCAGTGACACAGAGTTATGATTTAAAGCTTAATTCTTCACAACATTACATACCTGCAATTCTCACACGACATGCAAGAATAAGAATTATTTGGTAGACGTACAGTCCTTAATTATGTTATTGAATGACTTACCTCCCACTTTTCAGATGCACTGTTTCCACGCTTGCCTGATTTAATTAAATACAGTCTTCCTGTACCATCAGAAAGGGTAACCCATGTGGCAGATGAGAAGTGTATTGAGGCACAAAGGCGATTATCATAAGCTGTCAAGTCGGTAGGCAGCCTGAAAACTTCTCTTGGTTTTTGGAGAGCAGTGTCCTAAAGTAAACAGTCATACACTAAGACTTTATGAAGTATTTCTCAATTTCAGTTTTACAGACAAATTAAGAAAAACAAATCTCAGCAGCAATTCAGCAGTTTCTTTGTGCAGTTGAGCGTATTTGGAGAAAGGTGGGTAGCAAGCATCATTCCCACATACGTGGAAAAGGTGGTGGAATTTCATCATTCAGTTGGTTTCTATTTACTGAAAACATGAGTGTTCTATAATTGATATTTCAGCACCATTTTTTTTTCCTTCCATTTCAGAGCACTAATTACATTTTGCATTAAAAAAAAGGGCTTTTCACTTCTTTTCCCCTAGCATTCCCATATAATTAATCACTTACCTCAGATAATTGTAGTGCCAGTAAAAATGTGGAGATTTTAAAAGAAATGAAAGCCACAGAATTGTACTAGTTCATAAAAACTCACGTCTAAATTAAAAAGAATTTTAGCCTATTCTTACACAACTGGCATATTCAAGCTGATATACAATTTCTCAGCTTTCCCAGAGTGATAATTTTATTCAATAAGTTAGAGAAGTAACAATTGTGATTAGCTGGCAAAGAAAAGCCGTACTAATTCATATCGTATTTGCAAATAACTTTTCCATCACATTATGATTATACTACGCATCAGGATAAATTTAGTTAGCATATTGTAACAGTGGCACACTGCAATCTTATTTTTTGTTTTTAAGCCAAACTACAAGCATAGATAGTTTTTGAGCATGAATAAACAGAGACACTATAGTGAACAAAGTGCACACATGATACAATTCTCCACTGATAACAGATATATGGATTTTTAAAAAATGATACATATTACTAGATTTTACAAAAAAAAAAAAAATTCCAAAAAGGAAAAATCCAGTATTTCCTGCTGTATAAACTTTACACAAATCGGCATGACTGAATAATATTGCAAAATGAATGTTAGATTACCAATTTCATCTATCGTTCTAGTAATTGTTCTCAGAACTCCTGCTTTAGTTCAGTGTTGCTTTCATTTCCTGCTAATTCCAACAGAAGAAACTGCTTTCCTGCTGTAAACTGGATTTCCAACTGCTGTCATTAAGTACAACAAAGGCAAGTCTTCCAGGGTATCTTTTAGGGATTATTCTTTATCTTGTGCCTTCACTCTTACATACAGACCTTTCTTTGCTGAATAAGGCTTTGTAAATCTCTGCTCATTATTTGGCTTGCAGAATGCCAGCAACACCCGCTGCCTTCTTAGGACTATGATTTACCTCCCTTCTGTGAGTTGAAGAAATCTCTGAATATCCAAGGGGCTTGTTAGAAAAAAAAAAAAAAAACCTGACCAAATCTTTATGATTTGAAAAGAACTTGGCATCGCAGTTTAAAAAACTGTCCGGACATACTTTATCAGCAATACAGTTTGATCAGCTACTTACTAAGCAGATCAGGCTGCAGCATTATGAGCACAAACAAAATATTCTTACAGAAAAACATAAGACGTAGACTGGAGATTCAGCAACATTACAGTCACATCTCTATAATCTTTCAAATAACCAAAACAGAAGTTAATTGCTTGAAGCTTTTCAACTGAACTAAGTAGTTGCTAAATAAAACAGGCTGGCAGCCTGCCACAAGTGGGGTCCCCCAGGGATTGATACCAGGCCCCACACTGTTCAATACCTTCATAAATTACCTGAATGATGGGACCGAAAGCACCCTCACCACATTTGCTGATGACACTAAACTAGGTGATGAGGTAGACATGTCACAAGGCAGAGCCATCTTGCACAGAGACCCAGTTAGCCTGAAAGAGTGAGGTAGCAAGAACACTGTGAAGTTAAACAAAGACAAGTGCAAGGTCCTGTACCTGGGACAGAATAACCAAAGAGCCCAGTACCGCCTGGGATCTGTGTGGCTGGGAAGCAGCTTTGCTGAAAGGGACCTGGAGGTCCTGGTGGACAAAAAGCTGACCATGAGCCAGCAGTGCGCTGCTGCAGGAACAAAGGCAAGTCAGATCGTGAGCTGCATCTGCAGGGGCATTACTAGCAGAGAGAGAGATGTGATCATCCCACTCTACTCAGCGCTTGTCAGGCCACATCTGGAGTACTGCGTCCAGTTCCGGTCCCCACAACTGAAAAAGGCATGGTCAGGCTGGGGAGGGTCCAAAGGAAGGCCATGAAGACGATCAAAGGGCTGGAGAACCTGCCCTATGGGGGAAGACTGAAGGAGTTAGGTCTTGTCTCCCTGGACAAGATTCGGGGGGACCTCATCACAGTATTCCAGTACTTAAAGGACAGCTACAAAGAGGATGGAGGCTCTCTCTTCACAAGGAGTCACATAGAGAAGACAAGGGGCAACAGGTAAAAGTTGCACCAGGAGAGGTTTTATCTCGACATAAGAATTTTTTTTACAGTGAGAACCATCAATGACTGGAACAATCTCCTCGGAGACATGGCAGAGTCCCCACCACTGGAGGTTTTCAAGATGGACAGGGTACTAGATAATCTCATCTAGGTTCCTTTTCCCATGGAAGGTTGGACCATACGATCTTTTGACGTCCCTTCCAACCTGGACTGTTCTACGATTCTAAAACAAATGGTGGACACTAACAATATAATTAAAAAAAAAAAAAATTCACCCCCTTGCCCCTCATATTGATTGATAGACTTCAGGATCTGAGGAGGTCCCCAAAAAGGTCTTCCAGTAATAACAAACAAAACCAATTCCTGTTGTTTCTGTTCTCTATCTTAAAGAAACATTTCTCATGAAGTTATGGTCCTTTCCCCTCATCCCTCAGACAGTTTTATATATACCATAAATAAACCAAACTAAATACAACAGGTTTCATAGATATTTTGCAGGCTAGTGTACGTACATATATTTGAACAAATAAACAATCATCTCTGGAAAAAAAGGTGCCTGACTGGCCTTTTGATCCTACAGATCAACATTTCCCTTTTTAAACCCAATCTATCTTCTTAATTCAACAACAAATAGACTATGGTGAGAACATAACTAATGGTCATAGAGCCAATTAAATTAGTTTTATTTTACTAGGCTCATTTCCAGTCAGTTGATCTATAATTATTTTAGAAGCTCCACAAATCAGAAAACTCTGCTTCACAATAAGGAAATTCTTCCCTCGTTACTAAAAATTAGCATTAGTGTCACTAAAATGAAAAGATATTTAAGTAGAAACACATTTTTAAAAATAGAAAAACAGATTTGAAAGAAAAACATTACAGGAACAGTTTTGAAGATATTTACAAGTATGTAAAAAGAAGCACAAACAGAAGCACATTTTTGTACTGAAAATGGGGGGTGGGGTGGGGAAACAACAAGTATTTATCTATTCTATGCCACACAAAATGCACTCTCTTACTACAGTAAGGATGGGCATGAGACTAAGAAACAGCAGTGAAAAAGTATCAGATTAAAACAGTGTCTCATTACAGGCCCTGGAATTTCAGCCACAAATTATTGTACTATTTTGTAAGCACCTCCTGTCCCTCTATCTTCACTCAAGCAATGGATAGCTTTGGGGGGTGGAGGGGAAATAATCTATACACATATCAACTTCTAGCAAAAGAAACTCTTTCATTCTGATCTATGAAATAAGGCAGTCAAAAATATACATACAAAGCACCATCTTTAAAAGAGTTCTTTGCACTTGTGCATGGGTATCCAATACAGAAAGACGACACTTGTGCATGCAAAGCATGCCATGGCCTCATTTGTTGAGATTCCTGTATTTGAGGGGATTTCAAATCCTTCATATTTTCCAGATGTTATTAAATCAGATGTGCATTTAAAACATGTTCAAAGGTAAGCAAGATACATTGGATTTGGGTAAGTACCATCCTAATAAGCAACAGCAAAAAAGACCAGATGACAAACAGCTAGCCTGTTTGCCTTTTGGGCCTACTTAAATTTGTATTAGAGATTACTGTGTACTACAAAAAGGCACAGGGGCTATTATGAAACCTGCAATGGAAAAGATGCAAATTTGATTTTTAATTATCGGAAGCATTCAGGGTCACTTTGTAGATTCAGTTGCATCACTATGCCCCTTTAACTATTTCACTATTTTATAACACATTCAGAAAGGGAGAATGAAAGAATAAAAAAAACCAACCCACCCAAACAAAACCCCAAACAAACCCACAACCCAAACAAAACAAAAGTCTCACAAACACTAGACACAAAGAATTTTGGCTTCCTCATCTTTTACTTAATTTTAAGGTTTCACTGAAGGGCAGTATTTTCGACAATAAAAGTGTTCCATTGTAACTAGCAAGTTGTATGACTACCGTGCCTAGGGAAAAAAAAAAAAAATCCCATGCATCGTATCATGGAAAGATGAAACATCAGCCCTGTTAACAATGATTTACAGGGCTATACTATGTAACATTACAGAAGACCACATTTTTGTCAGCCTTCAAAAGAATCTTAACAGTAAGCTTCAAATACTTTCGGATGTCATTTAAAAAAAAAATTATCAACTATCAACCATTTAATCTTCTAAAACACACATCAGATTTATCAGCACTGTGCAGGAATGTCAGTACTCAAAAACATCTCCTGAAAAAAGTGAAAAATAATCTTCATTACACATTACAAAGCCTCCCTCTCAACAGACAAGAAAGGTAATGCTCTTATTCACAACCTTTCTGTTCACTAATTTAACTTTAGGCATTTATTAGAACAGTCTCTAATCTCAGTCCAATAATGAAAAGGATGGACTTACTTGAAGCTGAAACAAAACCTGTCCTCAAAACCCTTCTGTGTCAGATTTCCTTTCCGACTTACTGTTTCTCTGTTCACCAGCTGGTTAACAGGTTAAAAGTAACCCTCTGCTTCAGAAGTATGTGGGCATGCTGAGATACTATAGTCACGTTTTATACTAGTAAGAACTGGCTAAAACAACTATAGTCATTTTAATAGAAGTCATATTTACTTGCTGTAATTAGGTTTAAATGACAGCAACACAGTTTCTTTAAGAAAAAAACAGATGCAGCTTCTCGTCAGACCTGGTTCTTCATCTCCCTTCACTTCTTTACACAGATTCTTCCTTTGTTTAACTATTTTTCACTCCCAAGTCTCTCTCTTATCTCTTCCACTGGCCTTCAATTCTAGCTCTGCCCACTTCTACACCTTTTGACAGCGTACTCTGCTTCCTTTCGGCCTCTGTGATTCCGTTTGTCTATTCCAGATTTCATCTGCGTGCCTTCACTATTACAACAACCCCTTTCCTTTCAGCAGCTTCTTTGCCTCACCTGGCTATGGCACTAACCCTGATTTTGAGCCTTTTAAGCAGCTCAGGTTTCAAATCTGTATAGAAATTCTGAGCAAACGGTTCTTCCACAGGCAAAGCCAGGCAGACCGAGCCAGGGTGTACTCAGGATAAGGAGCCAGTGTGCAGGTACAAGAGGTAAAATGTAAAATGCAAGCTTAAAAATTCCCTCTGTTCCTGACTCCCCCATGCCAGGCTCCATTTAAGTAAGCGTGTCTTAGCTTACATAGTTAAGTAGTGAAATTCTACTTAGGTTCTTTGGCATGCTTGTAAGATTTAAAGTGGCATGCCTGTAAGATTTAAATTTTTTAAGTTGTATTAAGAAACTCTATTGTTCCAAAGTCACAAACTGTTTGTCATACTGTAGAAACAAGCGATATTTCATAAGAGATTTAAAAAAAGAATGAATTTTCCCAGGAAAAGAGAGGGAACAAGAAAAAACATACCAAAAGAGAAAGGAAAAACTAAAAGCTGTAAGTTATATGGCAATTTCCACAAAGTAGCCGTAACAAATACAAAACTTTGTTTTTATGAAAAATCAAAATATCTAGGCATTAGACTTGTCTCTCTAACTGAGCAAAAATGTCCACACCCAGCATTCTGAATAATGAAGAGCCATGTATTTAAAACCCTGATACAGAAGTCTACAAGATTTTGTTGTTCTTCACTTTCTCTGCTTCCTGACTTGTTTCAAACAGAATTCTCACATTGTTTCTGGTGCCACTAACAGTTGTTCTGAACTTAAGTTAACTGAAAGTTACAGAAACAGCATTCCACAGCTAATTCTTACTGGAATTCAGAAAGATGAAAATATATAGATACCAATAAGGATTTTAATTAAGTGTAAGAAGATTTACAGTTGCCGCAATTTCTCAATTCCATTATTTGAATATAAAAAGATGCAAAGATGACTTTGCAAGAAGAGCTGAAGGTTGAGAAACCAAGTCCAAGTATTTAACTGCTGGAGGAGAAAGTTTTGAATTATTTTACAGCTATATCCTGGTATTACAAACATCAAGCGATCAAAAAAGTCAAGTCAGATGCAAAAAGCCCCACAACCCCAAAAAACCCAACTCTGTAATCCTGCCACTACACTACCCACTGGGTCTTTAAAACAAAATATCGATGCTGGCTTATTAAATGAAAGAAATACAATAGCTGTAATAGAAGAATGTTAAAGCTTTTATACAGTATTTCCAGTCAACAACTTTCTCAACCTGGTGTAACAGAACCCACTTGAATACCCATCCATCAACTTAAAAAACTGCTCATGTTGATCACTTTTCTTTTTAAATTATGTTTGATTTTGAGCAAGTGGCAAGGTATTATCTATACTTTTTGCCTTCACAGATAACAACTTTTTAAACACCTAAGTAATTTGTGATTTATGGACAACTAACACACTGCCATCCTAGAATCAAAGTTTCAACAGAAATAGGAAGCAGAACTAGAAATAATTACATGTTAAAAAGCCTATGTGTTTTTCCACTTTGGATTTAGGATAAGCATGTTAACCTATTTCATCTTCTGTTATAAAGAAGACTGACATTAATTTTAATTGTGACTGTTGCTAACTTGTAAGTTATACTTGGCTGAAAACAATATTATTTGTAATGTACATTTGACTAATATATGGCCAGAAACATTTGTAATGAGACACCTTGTTGATGTTTCTGAATACACATTCCTTTTTATACATACGCAAACATGTTTCCCTTGCAAAACAGCACTGTATTGCGTATTAGGACACAGATGACGCCTACTTATTTCACAGTTCGGTGGATCTAAAACTCGTGACAAGATATTAACCAAAAGCCATTTTCTTGAAGATTCCAATGGACCCACCAGTCCTAGGGAAGAATATTTATTATTTCAATTTATTGCATATAAAAATGCAAATTACTGCCTGTTGTAAAATCCTTTATCTAGTTTATCTGCTAAAAAAGAACTTTCCACACTTTAGTGCCCTCCTAATAAAGGAATGTATTGGGTATCTGTGCTGTGCTGGCAGTGGGCAGCTGCTGCAGGGGCAGCCTCTGTGAGCAGAGGCCAGGTCTGTCCCACGCCGCGCACAGCCGCTTCCAAGGGACTCGCCACAGGGCACTGCTGAGCCCCCCAGCCAGGCCGGTGGTGCTGCAGCCCTTGGAGAAGACCACAGGGAAACAGGTTGCCCCCCTGCAGCCCACGGAGGACCACAGTGGGGCAGATAGCTGCACTGCAGCCCAGGGAAAGCCCACGCCCGAGCAAGCTCCTGGCAGGAGCTTTGTGTGGCTTTGTTTCCCACCATCTTACTCTATTTTTAATTGGCAATAAATTACATTAATTTCCCCCAAGTCGAGCCTGTTTTGCCTGTGATGGTAATTGTTAAGTGATCCTCCTGTTTTCATCTCAACCCATGAGCTTTTCTATCTTATTTTCTCCCCATCCTCTTGAGGAGGGGGAGTGAGAGAGCATCCGGGTGGGTGTCTGGCAGCCAGTCAAGGTTAACCATCCACAGGGAAAAAACACAAAAAATGAGATTGTGACAAACCACTGTTCACAGAAGGCTTTCTCTGAGAAACTTCTTTCTTTTAGACATTCCTACTGGGAATCCAGATGATCTCAAAAGATTTGGAAGAAGTCCCAGAAGATTATTCTGTCTCAGCAAGAGTCTGCCAAAGGCTCCAACTGCCTGTATGTTCTATGAAAAGTAAAGGAACTATTTTGCAGCTCCAGTTCTCAGCCTACCATCCTCTGGCAATCTGTATTTCCCGGAAAATCCAGAACTACCATTTCAGGATTTCTCTCACCTTAGCCCCAGACTAGTAATTTCCACTCCCAGAACCTTGCACAGAATAAGCCACACTCTCTCTCGAAAATCACACATTATCCTGTGTTTTCTTTTGTCCCACAGGGTTACAAGTCAAATTCCTTGGTAGCATGGCAATGGATATTTTCCTTTCCAAACCTGAAAATTACATGTAGTCAGTTATAGCAATGAAATAAGTTTAGGCCAGTACTCTGTGGACTGCAGAGCAAAATGTTCTGTGGAGTCTAGAGAGAACAGTGTGAAGAGACTCCATAAACTTTAAACACCTCAGCAGTATACACTCACTTTGAATCATTTGATTAACAAAAGGTTAAAGACTTTCTCCTCCACCCAACTCACTTAAAGATTCCTTCTATTTAACACGCGCACAGTCTAATTAATCTTATGTCAACTGACATGATACCAAAAGTCAGATTACAGTAACTGGAAGAAGCTGTCACACCAAAATCTATGACTGAAACAGGAACAGCTATAGGAAGGAGGAAGGTATTAATATGTGACACGTTTTGTATTTTCCAGAATTATACTAATCTCATAGCAAAATTCAACCGACTTGTTATATAAAATTAACATTGTTTTGTTTTATGTTAGAATCAAACAGCAGCCCTGATTTATTTACTGCAAGAGCAAATCTTATTATGAGAACGGAGTATCTACATGTTATTACCTCTCTCAACATAAAATGTTAACCAAATAACTGGTTATGAATGAAGCATTGCTATTTAAATTAGCTAACAGCTGGATACAATTATGGACTTTATTTTTTCCTTCTACATAGATGAACATTTAAGAAGCTATACTTGATGAGTCAAAAAGATTGAGTTAGTCATGAAAACAAAAAATTCTACTTTGTGGTGAAAAACCGTAAGCATATATTTATTGCTCAACAGGATACAAGTCAAAACTGTCAGAGATATAATCTTACTCTAAATTATACATTCAAAGCTAAGAAGACATTGTGATAGCTGCAAAATCACCACCAGTAACGCAGTCTTCTATTCCTTAATGACCAAGCACTACAACTGCATGTACCAGAAACCCGGTGTCCATAAAGCCATGCCCTTTCCCCTCCAGAATGATGAATGACGTTGTGGAAACTAGTGCATCCATGCATTAAAATGGCTCAAAAGAAACAGAAAGTTTGACTGCTTAAGAATATCAGTATAAAAGCAGAGAATTGTCACATTTTTCACACTTGGTCTAGCTTGCTTACACTCTATTTCAAGTTTGCACGGGACCACCAGCATCTTTTTGCCTCCAATGAGTGATGCCCAGATTAACCTATCAGTATATAAAGGCTTTCATTTCTAATTCTAATGCATACAGCTTCTTTCTCTCCTTATATCTACAATGACTGGATTTTCAAACTAGCAAACAGACAAACGTCAAGTAATGTAGGGGAGAAACAGCCAGCAACTAGAAAACAAGTGTCTACTTTTTTCTTCAGCTTGTCACCTTATCTCTATCTTCCCCAGAATCAAAGCAGATGCAATATTATTTCAATACTAATGCAATACTATTAATTAAAAGATGTCAGAAACCTCACTTAAAATCTTTCACACTTCCCGCTGAACTGTATTGGTGTTAATCTACCTGTCTTCCTGGAAATAGCTTCCCCCGGTTTTTGCATCTGAATCCTCCTTGCCATATTTTCTGTCTTATCTACCCCGTACCTTTTCAAATTCAGTAATTTTTAAAAAAAGTTTATTCTTACCAGAGTCACTGACAGATTCATAACCCTTCCAAACTGATCAACGTAGTAGACACTATCCTGGTACCAGGAATCAAGGTGAAGATAATTATACATGCCAAAAGCACACATGTGGTCAAGGGTATATTGATCATCACGAAGTTTCACTTCTGCTACAGCTGGGGGGGAAAAAAAAGACTATTTTAACAATTATTTATTTATAATTTAAAAGTTCAAACTAATAATTTAAAAATAATTTTTCCATGCTTAGTCCATAGGTGTGGTTTATTTGAAGAAAACTACTTTATGCAGATAGTTTAAAATTTTACCATAAACTTGGAAAGCAGGTCATCCACACTGAAGGCCACTGCAGTCATTCACCGTGATCATGTAATAACCATTACCATTCATAGTGGCCCATACCATCTCTTCCCAACATGTGTTGAGATCCAATTTGTCCATAACCCTCACAAGACAAACGACACATGCAACAACTAAGTAAAACCTACTTTTAAGTCTCCTTGGGAAGAGCACAAATCATTCCTGATATGTACATGGTACTATAGTAAGGGAAAAAAAAATTCTGCTCTACGGTAACTCCAACAACAGCCAAAAGAAATATCCCGCCTAACTACATGGATTTCAAGTCTTAAATTCTGAACCAAGCTATCAACGCTTGCGAGGCAAAAGATTATAACAATACAAAGCAGAATTATTACATGGTCATTGGTAAAAAACCCCTATGTTCCTAGCATTCCCACTGATGTCGAAATCTTGAGAAATGTCCAAGACAGCATCAAAATTTCAGACCAAGCTTTTTCTAACTGAAAGAGGCTGCAAAAAAAGGTTGTTCACTACAATGGTACCTTCTTCAAGTCAAGAAGCATACTATTTACAGTAATCTACTTGAGCAAGGTATTTCCAAATAGAAAACCTCCACCCAGCTACCAGTAATCACAACTGGGGTTATCTTTCTAAGACTAACCAAGTTTTTATTTAAACTAGCTGCAGTTCTTTCTTCCTATTCCACGTCTACACAGAGATGAAGCAGCTGTAGTCCCAACATCTCAAAATACAAAAAATCCTCAAGTTTTAGCAAAGACATCAGCAGAGGTCTCGTCCAGCCTTCTGCAAATAGTCTCAGACAGATGGGAACTCCAGTTCACTTAGCTTGCCTGCAGGAAGTTTATGTCGAACTTCACACAACAAGCAAAATCCTTAGAAAGTTATAAGTAAACTCTGTCAGCCCATGATGATTAGCCTTCAAACCCAGCATATGGAGAAAGCACCCCAAGGCTAATTCTACTCATAGCAACAGTTATTTTAGTTCCTACTTTTTCAGCTTCCACTTCCTTCTCTTTTCTGCTCAGAAACAGAGCAAAGCTGTTTCCAGTATTTCACTTCCATCCACCCCCATAACGGACCATTCACAACTGTGCAGCAGTCCTCATCTTAGATTTCTTACACTCTTCTTTAGCATCTACTTAAAACCTACTGAAGCAGTAGTTTATTCTACTCTGTCAGAACACCAGTTATTCCAAACAGTAATTTGACAGCGCAATCAGTGCCACTGCATAGCTACCACAATACCATCAATCAGACAGTCACTAGATGGCTCAGAACTGACCCCATTAGAGATACTGGGTATTAACATAAAAGTGGCTATAGGAAACTGTGCAAGGTTATACTGTCTGATTAATTAAAAAAATCCAGTCATACTATACAAAACGCTTGCAAAATGACAATCTAAGTAGCAATTAGTCTCCTAATCACTGTTGATATTTGCAAACCAACAGCATTAATTCCACTCAGCTCAAATCATTATTCATATTCACCACACAGGAGGGATTTCCGTACCTCTGCAATTAATAAATTACTGTTCCCCAAGCCATGGACTTTCAAAAAAAAGCTAGAATATCAACAAAGGAGTGAGAAGAAAATACACCTGTCATAATGGGAAAGACTGCTACCCATTCCAATTTCTACTTTAACTAATTAGAATATTTTACAGTAAATTACACTGTAAAAGATACTAGAAGGATGTGTTGTGAAAATGTGCGTTAAAGCTGTTTGTACAATCAAGCTTTATCACAGAGATATTTTTCCCAACACGACCGGAGATGATGTGAATATTCTGTAAACAATTAAAGACAAATGAAATATAATCTAGGATAATTATTTTCAGTGAAACCATGTACATGTCATCTACTTCCTGGATAGCTATATTAACTGATTTTCTGAAATTAGAATACACATGGAGAAGCATGTAAAGCTTTTTCAGCACAGAAAACCTAAAATTGTCTTATTTTGTATAGCTTCATTTCTCCACTTCTCCCTGCCTCCGGCCCCCTAGACACATTGCTACTGTTAGAATTGTAACTAAAACACACACAAATAGCGAAAATAGTCCAAACTAGATGCTTCCTAAAGCAAATATATAACCTTTCAAGAAAATTCTTGGAACAATATACTATTGATTAGCTAATTGTAAGGTGATAAGCGTTACAAAAGCTGGAAGAACATTAATAAATTCTCTGTCCTTGAGTTTTTCACCTGTAGTCCTGACAAGCCCTGAATAATAAATAAGGGGTCAGGAATAGGAGATTCAAATCCCTTGCATAACTGCAATATGCAATTAATTCTTCATAAACACAAGTCAGAAACTATACAATTTGTAGGTGATTTTAAACCACAAAATTAAACAAATGTGTACTGTACTGTCATGAAACACTTCAGATAAGGTTATCAACTGCTTGCAGAATGTATCCTGCACATACAGCTCTCTGCTAAGAAGTAATTAGAGAAACTATTCCGTCTTCAATTAATTGAAACCCATTCTGTGATCAAGTGAAACCTGTGCACAAATGCCATCTGCTGTCACATACCCTGTGCTCAGATAGCTTATAGGAGATTTTATACTAGGATGAAGTTCATTCCCTCCTTTCTACAGCCTTCCAGGTTCAAGTTTTCTCGATGGTCCTTGGAAAATTGAGGAGAAAACCAACAGAGCTGAGTGCAAAAAAAATTAAGGACAAAAGAGAGAAGAAATTAAGACTTTTAAAAAAGTAAATTCAGAAAAAGAGAAGTTGATATAAAGGGAAAAGAAGAGATACTTCAATCAGATCACCACCTTATTCAGTCACATAGTTTGGGGGGGGCGTTGTTTGGTTTGGATTTTTTGCTGATTTTTTGTTGTTGGGGGAGGGTGTTGGTGCTGCTTTTTTTTTTTTTTAAGAGTCACGAACTAATTCACTAGCTTCAACTTTACGGGTTCAATTAACAAGCAGCAGTTAATGACAGCTATATTCAACAGAATGATACATTGTCTCCTTCAAGTTTCTGATAAATAAATCTGCACTACTAAAACCCAGGAACATTGATTCATACTCTGTCACACCACAAAAGAGAGCAAATACGCAGAATATATAAATTAAGTCTCAGCTTTCAATATTATTTCCCACCAACCCTAGTTAGGTGTGATATTTCAGACTAGCACAAAGAAAATTATGCTGCTTTTCTAGAACTGTATTTATCTCCAGCTCTATGCTTAAAAGAAGTAATTTGACCCCAAATATTTCAAAGATAATTAAGCAAAGATTTTCACTCACACCACCTTTACTTAGAAGCAAAGGCACTAAATACAAAGCAACTCATAAGAATCAACAGGAGTAAGATGCCCCTAACTTCACTGGATCTTATTATAATTATTACTCTGCACCGAAAAAAAAAAAATCTCTGAATAAAGAGCACTATCAAGGGTCTTATACTTTAAATGAATAGTGAAGTCTTACGTCTACCATCAAACACTAAGCAGAACTGGGAAAAAAAAGTAGAGAAAAAAGGGTGAGAACCCCCCACCTCCCACACACACATTTTTAGATGTTTTACTGAATACATCAAACCAACTTTACAATACTGGAAAATATGTAAAATAATTATATCAACATATTATTTTAGGGCATCGAATGTTATATGCTTGTATGTCATACTTTGTTTTGCAATGCCACCCAGTGGAAGCAATTTAGTATTTCATATACACTTACCTACTAGTGGAACAGATTACATTATTTATTTTCTAGTATCAGCATTCAAAGATCTTTCTAACCCTGCATTAATTCTTCTAACGTTAAGAAATATGTTTTTATTGTTAATGGCAGCATCATTTCATTGCTGTTGTTGAGCAAAAGTACAAGGCTTGTTTATTCTACTGCAGTATGTTAATAGACTAAACACAAAAATGTACTGTTTAATAAACACATACCTTGCTGAAAACAAGCACAGGCTGACAGATAGCATGTAATGAAGTATTTTTGCCTGATCAAATTACTTACACAGGTATGAAAATTAAATGGGATCTATCATGCGCTAAATTGAACAAATAAATTGAACAAGATCCAAAAACTAGCACGGGATTTGTGAAAGTATCACTATAGCAATGCCTTGATTTATAAGCTGACTTGTGCCAGCTGCAAGAACCATTTTCTTTAACAACAGTTACAAGGCAGAACTCGCCTCTATGTTACCTTTTTCTTTCTCGAGGAATTAAAAGTACAACCCAAGAACAGATACACGTGTGCCTGAGACCTAAACTGAGATTTATGAACTACAGCTGTAAACGTCTGAAAAAGCCATGGTTCACAGTTTCTTAAGTTATTTCCCAAGCATTACTTTAATTCGTATTTAATTTTTCAAATGGAAATGGAAAAAGCAAATGGAAATCCCTGTAAATGTTTGAAACATATCAGTGCCTTTGGTTCCATAAAAAGACACAAATGCATGTTTTCCATGTGGCAGTACTAATGGGCAACTGCTTGTCACTGAAGTACAGTGAATGGGCAACTACTTTTCACTGAAGTACAGACCTTCTCATCTAAACAGGCTAGAAATAGGGCAGTCATTCATTAACATCGTTTTTCAAGAAAAGTGATAAAAAACCATAAATGCACATGATCAAAAGAATGCACTCTCCGTATTCTCCTGGCTTGCAACAGGAGCACCATGTTGGAGTGAATGTTTACCATGCCTTACAGATATTATTATATCTAAAAGCATACACTACATCACATGTGCAATAGTTCTGCCAAATAGACAAGATAGAGACAAAAGCCACGAGGGATACCCACATTTGAACAAATTCCAGGCCTCTGGAAAGAAGAAGGAATCAAGTTACATCT